CACTGATGTCGGGAAACATGGTTACGGTTGGTCACCATTAAATATGGCGACGTTCCAACAACTGAGGTAAAGTCAAGATGTGGTCAAAGTAGCCTCGATCTCGACGAAACCCAGCTTAATCCTCGCGCGTCTGGATTTCACAGATGTCAGCTGGTCTGTTGAGAACGAGAGACGCAAGTAGTGTAGAGGCAGCTGGGATCAGACTGATTCTTCTATGATGGTCGCAATCAGAAGTTGAACCTCCATGGATACCTGGGACTATAACGAAACGGCTCCAGTTTGCTGGGAGTGTCCTGCTCCCATAGCCACATTAGTAAGTTGTATAAATTATGAATGCGAACAGGTCCCCCGAATTGGAAAAGGGCTGGAGGAAGTCTATCTGCTCGCGCGACCTTATTAAATTTCAACATCCGGATCAAACATTCGACTTATGAGCATGAAGGCGGATCCAAGGAAACGGGCGAGGAAGGGGGCAACTAAGGCCGGGAAAGAAAAATGATACTTGAAGTTCGGCCCAACGTTCCAAGCGTTTGACAAGTAGTAGATTGGGTATCCGCTCACGTCGGGTATGGTCTCGCTAACACCGGATCAACAAAGAGAAGTTACTCATGGTTGACTGGGATGACCCAACATCCTTAAACTGCAAGACTACATTGTCCGTACAATCTAGAGCAACCAGTTTTTCATCTGGCAGTACTCCCACCCCTGCATCGTAAGACTCCAAAAGGGAACACTTCAAGATGGAGTCCACGACGAGGTTGAACAAAAAATGGGAAAACTGTCGGAAAGAGATAATACAAATCACCGTAGACCCAGACGCGGTCTGTTGTGCGCGAGTAGACGGCACGCAATATGTTCACATATTTCATGGGAACATATTTCCGCACAAGTATCTCGAACAGAATGGATCGATGGACTGAGTAGAACATGTAACGCACATATGATCAATCGAAATCATATTTCTCCTAGTCCCCGATCATTGTCCAATTCCCCTCGTTTATCTCACTCACTGAATTTCTCACGCATGGCCCTAGTTACTTGTTTTGCACGCCAAACTTATAGTTGGTGCACCACCAGCCTTATTACTCGTTTCTCCGATGCATGCTCTACTCTCCCGATCGCTTCAGTGTTTTTGTTCCCTCCCACACACTAGCTCGACTAAGGTCCGATTCCCGTAACCACCTTCGATTCACCTACACGCTGACCGGTGACACACCATTCATCCAACTAACATTTAACCTGAGGTGATTGGACTAATACCTGTTGGTCTCCTGATCTGGCTCAGTTGCTGACTTGAACACACTAGATTGACGACCTGTTATTGTAACGGCTAACCGAGTGTAGGTCATTTGTTTGAGGACATTGTTGAAGTATGTCGTTATGATGATATTCCATGGTTTGTATAATAGCACCGTAGTTCCACATCGACTGTGGCTTTTGCTTCTACCGATTGGGCGTCCCAATTACGGTCCTTGTCTATTACTGAATCTATCATGGAGGCCGCAGATTGGTTGCCTATGCGTTGTGCAACGGTCCTAAGCGCTTTTGAGGCTTACAGAATGCTATCTCAAATTTGAGGAACACAGTTCTTTCGGTCTGCGGTACCTGTGGTGCCGCTCTAGCACCTGCCGCAGAGTGAATAAATGATCTATTTAGACACGTCCTGGGCGTAAACCTATCTGATTTTCCAGAAGCCGGGATTTCCGTTCTGCAGTGAGGCGATGAACAAGAATTGAGGCTAGTAACAGCACTTTGGTCAGCACAGTCGGCGCGACTGTCCTTCTGGTATATTGCCACTAGAAACGATTCACTCCAATTAACTGGGATAACCACTTCCTTTCAGGTCTGTTAGAACACTAAGGTTAGTGCATTGCAGAGGACCATACAATCATCCTTAAATGACGCAAGTGCTGGGAATCGGCCCAGCAACTCGTAGCGATTGGGAGCTGTCAGCGCTTTTCGAACCTTAGCCTCCGATGGAGGTTCTAAACTAACCGGCCATGGCTTAACCTGAGTAGAAACAGGGCTAGGAGCACAGGGCCAACCGAAATGTTCTTGAAAGTGTTCCGCCCAACGAGACAATCGGCGGACACCCACGCTGTCTCTGACTGTCTCACTTGACGCATAACTCCATGAGGCCAGTGATGCGGAAAAGTTGGAAGGGCTTGCGATAATTGCCTACTGCTTTTGCTCTATCCATTTCCCCAGCAATACTAGCCCACCACGCTTTCTTGTCAGCACGCAGGCTCCGCTTTAGTTTGCGCCTAATAGCCCGCCTAGTTACATTGTGCCCAAAGACAGCGTGGAGTTTTCATTTGAATTCTAACACGTTCACCGAGCTCCCGGAGATTCAGTGACTGGTGCAGTGACGAGTGATAATACAGCAAGGCAATGAGCTTCAGGGAAGTTTTACTCTTCAAGAGAAGATCGAACAGGGTTTCTACGGTGGTGGTTATAGAATGAGTTTCCTCCTTATGGGAGGATGACGTAGTTGTCACTTCCTAATAAAACGGTGGTAACCAGGGTGACGTAATTACCCACCGACAACGGTACCAGTAGGGTAATCAGGCAAGAAGCAATCTGGTAACAGTGTCACTTGGGCAAGACAGAGAGAATTACCGACTGACAACGCTGTCACCAATAATTGGCAACTGGTAACGATGTTACCGATAATGCATCAGGAAACCGTCCCATGGCAACAAAACTGACAAAGTTGGAGGATGGAAAAGGAGACCGGTGCGAAATCCGTGGAACCCTGAGGTGTTCATGACACAGAAATTTCAAAAGAAAAATTTTTAATCAGGGCTAGAATTGCACAAGGAAGTAAGGAGCAATAGTCATCATCCAAATACAGTTAATGGCTTGCTCGAACGTAGTAGATTTCAAGCGTTTGAAAATGCGAACGAGTCCTCATTTGAATCAATATAGTGAATGAGAACGCTGAGCGCGTCTGCTAGACCAACAAATATACTAAAAATAGGTCAGGAACCAGAAAATCTATACGGAAGTCTTGGGCGCAGTCAAGAAAGGCTTAGGGTTTGATAACCCAGTTAAGAAAAACGATTTACAAACCCCAGTGTTTTCCTTCATAACCATTTGTCATATGTTAGTGGAGCAGTATTGTTGCACGAACTACCGTAGATTCCACGATGCTTCGATGCGTAAGCTTCATTACCCTTAACGGTAGCAGAGCAGAATTACACAATGAATTTAGTCGAGGGGGAATCACTGTCATTTGTTGAACCAGATGCTTCCACCGATGATTATTGAGTCGAAATTTCGAGAATTACAGCAAACATATGCACACAAAAAAGACATGAGAAACAGCTACACCCAGAGTGTTGTGCTGTTTCTCTATTTTACCTGACTTTATACATAAAACAGTAAGTTCAAGGCCATTGTTTTCATTTCCATATCTATACCATTTCCCTGCCAAGTTGTCCTTTTGGGCAACAGAAATAATCTGAAGGGGCATTCAACATGAGTCTACTCAATTAATTTGTTCCGTGCGTACGCCAGTCACTTGTGCAGGTGTGTAGGTGTGCGTGTATAGCCCGTCGCCTTCAGCCAATTGGACCTCAGACGCACTAAGTCATAGGGGTGCAGGTGGGACACTTCAGCTCCTACGCACGGAACAAATTAATTGAGTAGACTCATGTTGAATGCCCCCTCAGATTATTTCTGTTGCCCAAGAGGACAACTTGGCCGGGAAATGGTGTAGAGGAATTTGGAAGAAGTTACTACACAAGAATCTCTGAAATTAATCCGGTGTCTAGACAGACCTTCAGTCCCGTTTTCGCGAAGTATGGCTCTAGTTAAGTAGTAATATGGCGGCAAAAGTTTGGCACTGCAATCTCTGCTAGTGAAATCGAAGTGAACTTCCCATATACCAACGAAACCTTAAAATGTGCAGAGGCAATTGTCCCTGCCCGTTTCATGGTTGCGAAATAAATCAAAAATATGTGCACATGGACACGTCCATTTGAAGGTCAAACTATTTCGTTCGTTCGTAACCCATTCTAAGTGGATTGAAGCCCATCATTGTGCTGGTTAAAGGAAAGTCAGCCAACAATTAATATGCACAAGCCTTTGCAAGTTTCGGTTTCGCTGAAAGGCTATCTATCGTCTGAAACGGATCCGTGACTTTAGTTCGAACGTACCTGTCACACTGTATGACTCAAACGATCTGGTTACCAAGGTCGTGTAAACAGTGGAAAAATGCTACTGAAGTGGCCCTGTGATCTACTTCCCGCGCGTCTGGACAGCGCACGTCTTCTTCAAAGTGTGTGATGGCTGTCTGACTGAGTCTAGATGTGAGGAATTTCTTACTTAAATCAGTAAACTCCTCCTCTGTGATTAAAGCGACTCCGCCAGCAAAACCAATGTGAACGGATTAACTGAACGAGTTTTCAAACGTTACTGAAAAACAGAGACGAGTAAAAGAGCGCTGTGATACCTGCGGTAGAAAGAGGCCTATAACGGAGGAATCAGACCGAGACAATTAATGGGCAGTTCATTGGGACAAGAGCTAATAATGCGAGAATGGTGCAACGTTGCCTTGATCAAGATCGTCAAATGGAGCAGATCGGTGGCGCGTAACCCTCACCGCAGGAGCAGCGGACGCAGACCAAAGTTGAAGGGGTAGATGTCCCACCGCCGGAAGCCAAAAGACATCAGCACACAGACCGCTTCAATCGGCTTGTTCACATGGCGTATGTCATGTCATATCATATCGGGTACCAACATATATGCACTGAACGTAAATAAAAGTTGAATTTGCTCATTCGCCTGCATCCTGGAGTACCCGAGTTAATGTTGGCTTGTGTATCATGTTTGTTTACACATCCCCAATTTATTGTGCTCCACGCTCGAATCTTTTATGTAACTGCATACCCCTGCGATTCTATACCGCTTTACTTTAAACGTAACTTAGGTGCAACTCCGAGTAATGATGCTACACGACACACATTGGTGAAAGGGGAACATTTTAAACCACTCACCTTCTTCGCAATAATATACGGCCTGACCATGAGTGTTCAAACAAACGTACTTGTTGGCCGTTTCTATGTTTGTGACAACTGCAAAACGAACGTTATAAGATACCGATGAAATCACAAGTCATTTCAGTGCGCTAAGCAACAATACAAGTTAAAGTGCTTCCAAACACTTCGAGAGCTAGAAGCGTTGGTTAATAAGTTTCAATGCTAAAACGATGTCCATCTCGAAATTACACAAAAACAAGCGAACAAACCAGCACACGTGTACATGCTTGGAACAATTCATCGGATAGGCGGGAAGCGTCAGGTGGATCATTTCGCAGAAAAATGAGGATGTCGGAAAGAAGCTTAACTCGTGGCTAAATAAGAGGACAAATCGAAGGTCTACATCAGGACCGAGAGAATACAAGAGAATTGGTTCGGTGATACGCCTCATCGGTACACTGAAGTTAGAGAAAGCTGTGACTGCATGAAGCCAATACGTAGAAAACAAGGTGGATCGAAAGTCCTTTTAATATAGAAGACTCGTAATAAAGGAGCCAAATTCAGATAAGTATGGACGGGTATTCTATAAGGGAGGAAGACTGTCAAGAATAGTGAGGCAAAACGGTAGTGCGAAAGGCAACTAAACCCACACTATGTTTTGTTCGACATCAGTAGTCACCCATTGCGTACCGCAGACAACCAAAACAACATCGGCAAGGTAATTCACGCAACCTGCAAAGGGAACACGCGATCAGTCATTGTTCATTATTCACCACAGGGGCTCGAACGGTAGTGTATATGCTTGACGTAAGTACCGAGCGATTAATAAAGAACGGAGCCAAATAAAAAACTCTGGTTCCGTAGTGGATGGCCTGTGAAGCTCAATATGCCCACCGTTGGTTATTTAGGTGCCCACTACGGTGTGTCTCGTTTTCTGACTACACGGTAAGAAGGCCAATCAGTTATTTAGCAAAAATTAGTTGAGAGGTTGTTAGGGAAAGTCAGCGCACAAGCAGAGAAGTGTGGCGCAAGAGTGGATCGATCTACAATTAGAGATCGAACTCCAGTAGAGATGAAAATGTGAATCTATGTGGAATCAACGGCAAGTTGGACTATGGACGTGAACCGTTTGGTTTGTGTAAATTAACATTAATTAGTATCTGTGTTAGTGGTTGCCTACAACCTATCTATTGCACCATGCTCACATACAATAGAATCAGAATACCTCGGTCAGGCTGGTCTTGGCGTTCTCGTTTCGTAGCAGGTTGAACTGGTTGGGGGTGTCACAGCAGATCCAGGTAGGTTATCCGTAAAGTCAGCAGAACTGACAACAGATATGTGGCGACAGTCAGCTGCACGGTAGCAGCAGGTTAGCCGTACATTCAGCGGGGAATCCACAACATATTCCCGGCGATGGGAAATAAACTTACTCAAGATGGCAATCTCAGCAGATCTGAAAACTATTTTGCTACAACAGCAGCAGCAGTCCGAGGCCTCACAACTGCGTATAATCGAGACTTTCACTCAGACAATATCATTCCAATATACAGCCATCACTTCGGAGCAAATACAGACGCTCCTTCAGGTCCAGCAGTCAAATGTTTGAAGAATCACGGCGGCAAATGACATAGATGCTGACACAGACGTTGAACATTCAAGCAGAATGTGAACTGGAACCAGAACTTACATCAGAGCACCTTGTAGGTGAAAGTCACAAGCATCTCAACTCGGGATTAGACACCAAAATGTTGAAAATTCAAATTCAAGCTCAGTCGACCTGATGAATGCCGTCTTTATAGTGAGGGTTTCTCGAGATAAACTACATCAGTAACTTGAAATTGTTGTCAGCGTACCGCAGACGGTGATGTTCTTGAATCCGGCCTCTGGAGTTTAGCTTTAAACGTTTCATTCAGCTATCTCAGAATATGCTTGGAACCGACTGGGATTTCATGATTTCAGAAGGTTTAAATACAAATCGGTTTTGGTAGGGTTTTATTGTGGTAACATTTCGCCCTTCGTCCTGGCCTGAAGAAGCTCTTGTGTCAAGGGCGAGACGTTGCTACAACAACACTACAAAAACCGATTTGTATTCAAACCTTCTGAAATCATTTCATTTAGCTCATTTTATCCATATCTTTGTACCACAATGAGTTTCAGATTATGCTCACCACACGAGTCCAAGCGGTTGAGTCTATTGCGGTTCAGCACTCAAGCACAGTTCAACTACTGAACTGACCTAACGAAGTACCATAAAGAACCTAACTGAAGGTCAATAATGGGACGGAGATAGTTCGCTTCGTGCGTAGAATCCACGGTAACCGCTGTCAGTAAAAATGGTCAGCTGACGTGATGGTATTCATGATCCAATAGATATTGCACTCGATCTGCTTTCAATTTTAACCGGTGGGGTAAAGCGGTTTACTGGTTTCTAACCACTTTAGCTGCCGAATTCACATTACTCCCTGTCTTGCTTTACGATCATCGAGCTATAATCGTGGGATTTGCAAACTCGAGTCACGGCAATGGGGATATTCGGGATTGTCTTTAAGAGCATCAAGTACCAATAAGGCTTGTATTCATTCTGCTATATAAGGTAAAACGGAGGGGTAAGAGTACGACGCTCCTGGTTAAAAGTGCACTTGATTCACAGAATGGGGAAACATTGTATTTAATGAAAATAAAGGCTAAAGCACTAACAGTATTTAAAAGACGGTTGGACGATGCACTCATCCACTTACACTTTGTTACTTAACACTACGTCTCCATCCTACTACTGGAGTTTGCCATGGAATTATTTGTTGTTAAATGTGGGTGCTGTGAATCTAAGAGGATCGCAGAACTACAGCGAAGCAAACGATAAGTCCTTATTTTCAAATTTAAAGTATTAACTATGTTACTATCCTTATTATCATTACTGTTATGTTGATATCCCCACCAACTATCCCACGGGACTTGTAAAGCAACACTTCTTAACCCGTATAAATTCATTGTTCATTGTTCAATGACCTACAGGATAAGGGATGTCAGTAAAAGTACTACTCATTACTTAGTTCAAGTAGGCTGATTAAGCATGGTCTGTGCAGCATAATATATTGGATTAAGTCGATTCAGCTGAAATCACCCAAAACATATCTGTTGAAATATAAAAAAGACAAAAGGAGTTGACGCAAGAAGAATAGACAAAAAATTCGATTCGTGAAACGGAAAAAGTATGACGCAAAGGCAAGAGGAATAAAGCAACTGCAACACTGACTCGATGCCCGCGTAATGCTCGATAAAGTGACGGATCTCGAGGGCCCCAACTAGGAAGAAGATAAAGACCGAGCGAAGTTGGTCTTCTGCAAGTTTCCATGTTGTTTGACTACGCCATTGGCTGGTCAACTTTGTGTTTTATTACAATGCGTAGTATACGTAAACACACACTGAGGAAGTCGGCGGTTGGTAGACACGCGTAAAACGGGATCGAATCAGCGCAGGTGATTCAAATTTGGTGCGCACTCTAGTGCGGCACAAACGGGACTACGAGGTGCAAGAAGGTGTAGTATTAGAGCAGTGGATTCTCAGGTGCAAATAAATAGCAAACGAACGCTATATTTCATGGGATCACATTTGCTGTATAACAAGCGGATCACAGACTAGCCTGCTGTAATCAAGCAATGGCTTGTTTGGTCACAGTGTGACGATATTATTTCAAAAGGATATGTGGAGCAAAATGCACAGTGACTCTGTCATTGTATTATGTTCAATGCAAAAATTCGTGTGCAAGCTTATCAGAATATGGATGAAAGAACAGTGAGAAAGAATTTAAGGTTGGCTAGTATGGGTCGCAACAAACATACTTTCAAGTAATTCCTTCTTTTGCTTTATTATAAGCTGATTAAGCTGCGTCAGATATTCCAGCCCAGGAGGACAATAAGGGACGTCTGGCTTCGGCATCCATGGTGCTGAAACAGAAGACACATGCATGTAACGCAGTGAATTGCTATCATCATCATCATCATCATCATCATCATCATCATCATCATCATCATCATCATCATCATCATCATCATCATCATCATCATCATCATCATCATCATCATCATCATCATCATCATCATCATCATCATCATCATCATCATCATCATCATCATCATCATCATCATCATCAATCATCATCAATCATCATCATCATCATCATCATCATCAATCATCATCATCATCATCATCATCATACACGTTAGTCAGAGGTAGAAAAAAACTCAGCTACTGTGCAGCAAGACATAAAGGAAAAGGAAAATAAATACACCAGTTGCATGCCAGCTGAGCAACCAGCAACGGATAGGCGAAGGTTAGCAAAAGCGCCCCGAGCTTTTGATATAAGGTTCGTGATGCCATCTTCAATCCCACGGGCGCTGATAAAACTTCTCAGGTAGTTGAATTTGTGAACGACTTCTATCAGATCCCCACCAAGAGTCAGCGTAGGAGGTGGGCAAGGCCAATCTTAGAGAAACGCCTTGCACATCAAGGGTGTAAAATGAAATCCGAAGTGACGGACAGCTAGTGCTAATCTGTCCAGTGCCGCTTGGCACGTCTTGGAGCTGTCACAAATGAGGGCAATGTCGTCTGAATACTCCAAGTCAAGAAGTCGTTCTCCTGGGAGTAGCTCCACACCTTCCAAGTCATGTCCTGTAAATGCAATCTCCATGACTTCGTCAATAGCGAAGTTGAAGAAGAACGGTGACAGAGGGCATCCTTGTCTCACACTGCTGGAGATACTGAAGGATGGCGACAGCGTGCCGTAAGCATTCACTCTGCCCGTCCTACGCGCGTATAATGCTCGGATAATATTTACATATTTTTCAGGTACACCTTTCCTGAGTAGACCATTCCAAAGGGCACATCGATCAACGGAATAGAAGGCAACTTTGGTGTCGAGGAACACGAATACGTTGGGCCGCCAGTATGTGTGACGGCGCTCCAACAGCCGACGCAAGGTGAAGATGTGGTCCGTGCAACCACGACCTCGACGAATCTCGGCTTGCTGTTCACGAATATGGCTTTCACAAGCGCCAGTCAGTCTGTGAAGGATTACAGAGGCAAGCAACTTGGAGGCGACGGAGATCAGACTAATTCCTCTGTTGTTGCTGCATTCCGATCGTGAGCCTCCTTTGAAGATGGGAACAATAACGGAGCGGCTCCAATCGGTTGGGACATTTTCCTGCTCCCATAGTTTCACTAGTAACTCAATCATCTACAAGAGCAGAGCCTCCGAATTTGAAGAGAGCTGGATGAAGATCATCTCGTCCCCTCGGCTTTATTTAACTTCAACAGTGCGATCTCACGTTCGACTTATGAGCGAGAGCGTGGATCCAAAGGGACAGCCCAGGGAGGAGGGAGATCAGTGGTCGTCGAGAAATCTAACAATTCCGACCGATTAAATTGCCTTTCAAAATGCTCAGCCCAACGCTCCAAGCGTTTTGACAAGTTGTGCATAGGCTGTGCACTCTCGTCACGTATAGTTTCACAAACACTAGGATTCCTGCTGCCCGTTCCCCGTATCAGCCGGAATAACTTTCGATGGTTACCGAGGGCAGTGGCCTTTTCCATCTCTGTCGCACGATGAGACCACCAGGATTCGCGGTCTCTCTTCAGGCTAGTACGGAGTTTTGCCCGGAGCTCTTTGTGAGTTTCATTGTGTTCGCTTCCAACCGGAATATACCGGCGAGCATCGATAAGTTCCAGAGACCGCGAAGAGACCTAATGTCGATGTTGGCGATTAGACTTACCACATGAGGATTTTCCTGCTGCTAGTAAGGTCTGGTGAACATGCGACCAGTGACTCTCAATTGTCTCCCGTGAGCGCTTACTCAACTCACATGACAGCATACTTTGATAAGCATTTAGAACAGCTGGCTTTGGCACTTGGCTGGTGTCAATGCGCTCACAACGTCGTCTAGGGCGTCCGCCAAAACGCATCCGCAGGTCAGCATATACAAGTGCATAGTCGGTGTCCACACATATGCTCCAAATCGAGCGACAGTTCTGGATGCAGCCTCTCCATTGGTAACTGATTGTAATGTGATCGCTTTGCGTCCATAGCTGGTTTGAGGCTGGAGGGCGCCAAGTCACCCTCCGGCGAGTGCTGTGTCAGACAATCAGTCAGCAAGAAATAAGCGAGCATTCTAACAAAAATGGGGTCACCGCTCACCGTTATTATTACGAGAGCCTAAACTATGTTGGCCGCCCAGATGCATTTCAACAGTGGATAATTTTCCAACTTGAGCGTTCAGATCCCCAGTCAGCACAAGTGTCCGAGCTTCTGTGGCGAAGGAGCTCGTTCGGTTGACGATAGGAAGTCGTTCTTTACCGAAGCATCTCTACAGCTTGTGGGCGCGTAGGCAGCGATGATGAATAGACACCTGTTAGTCCCATGTGGCTTCAAAGCTTTGAACGAGCCAGCCAATCGGACCGCACACATCCGGCTACTGAATGGAATCCAATCAACCAGAGCAGATTCAGCCCGGGGACTCAGGACAATACCAACAACGGCTTGGCCGATGCTCTAAGCTACATCGTCACCGGATAGGCACAGTGAGAAAATACTGCTTGCGTCATCTAAAGGGGATCGCAGAGTGAACAGAGAGCTCGAGTTTTACAGGCGGGTCTCCGATAAGCAGCAGATATCGATCGAGAGGGTCTCTAATGTTCGGGCGAGTGCTGCCTGTTGACCGATGTGTAGCAATGTGCGTACATTAAGGCATGTCAATCTGAAGGAGGATCGAGGGCTCCAAATGGAAGCCGATGAACTTGAATGGACCGCTTGGTTGGACATGGGCTTGCCGACAGGAGAGGAGTGACGCTCCGCGTTAGCATGTGAGTTGAAATTAGAAGATAAACGCCTAGGAAGGCATGCTGGGGGTGGGGCAAGAATCGAGGGGTTGAAAACTGGGGGATAAAAGTGAAGTTGGAAAGGGACGGTAAGAGGGAAAAAGCGTAAGAGGGGGAGTAAGAAGACGGGAAGGCTTGAGCAGTAGCATCCAAACCCCTATCTACTCTGCTCGATGCAGCAGCTAGAGCACCGTTGATTACCCTCTGCGGTGGCCAGGGCATCACGAATTTGTTTGACGAATGATTCATAGTATTGCGTAGGCAGGATACTGTCAGGTTGCCCAGGCCTAGACAGGAGAACGATTAGGGTTCTCAACCAAAGCCTTTGGTTCAAAAACCTGACCGCAAGGCAGCGGGTTTGGCGTTGGGCTACAAGGAGTCCGTTTTAAGGGATAAGGTGCCGCCCTCATTCCAAATCCAAGCCTGGAGGACCAGGAGGCTGAGTTTGTTTAGCCTCTAACCATTGACCAATCTGGTATGAGTGGCTCTGAAGGTGCAAAAGAAGCACCACCCAGCATAGCTCAATGGATCACTGAGGCACACAAACCACGGTAAGGTCCAGCCTCATTTCGATGGAGTGAATTGCTATTCAGATATCAACATCGCCTATGTTGCGCAGACAATTGCAGTAAAGTCCTTAAGATCAGTGTTACCTGTTCTAACTGCATTACATCGTACTGTCCGCAATGTGTAGGCAAATCCGACCAAGAAGTGAGACAGACAAACCAAGTTGCTGACACAATTTGGTTTTGCCCATGTCAAATCATTCTAATTGTCAACTGTTTATCTTTGCTCATTAAAAGTGCGACAGGATGACTGAGATAATCGCGCATTTTGTAAATACTAAGATCGATCCCCCGGAGGTTATATGGCCACGATAATACCTCACCCAGCCAAAGTAAGCTCCGAATCTAAGCCGAAGAAGGGAGCTAGACGCTCCAACCGCACTGCAGCGTCTGTGACTCTAAATCCACTGGGTCAGCTCACTCCCATAAGTGGACAAGCCTCAAATATGCCTGCTTCCACTTCGCGAACCATAGACGCTTCAACTGGAGATTCAGCCATGACATCGAAAGCGCAGAGCCGAAGGCAATCCGGTGCAGATAACAAGCAGGTAACGTACGCATCGATTGCCTCGACAGACACACCGGGAGCGACACACATAGCTCCATCTTCAGTACCGAGCACGAGTGGCGCAAAGCAGCTTTCACCGTCAACCCCAGTGGTGCCTTCTAATCAACCCGAATTGCCGGCAAAAAGAATAAAGCCAACACTAGCTAGACAAAACCACGCTGCGTTAACTCTCCTGTGCACCAATGTTCCCGAATCCAAATCTGGCACAATAAAAGGCAAGTTGCAAGACGATCACAACCAGTGGAGTTCCATCTGCGAGGCGATTGGTATTCGGGTTGACCCTACAATGCTGCAACGTGTGTGGGCCGGCTCCGTTGATGAAACGTGGCTCCCATCCGCATGCCTCCCGGTCTTATTTCTTCGGGTTTACACTGGATAGGTGTGTGGATGGAGCTGTCAGTGGTGCAGGGTAAGCCATTCATGGTCCCCTGTAGGCGCAGGCGTCCTGTGTCTGGCCACAGTGACAGGCAAATCCGAAACCGGATGCCGCCAACCATATATATATATATATATATATATATATATATATATATATATATATATATATATATATATAAACATGGAATTCCTTTTCAAAATGCCTACGAAGCATTCTTCGGCCAGGAAACGAAACGAAACGAGAGCTGTTTGGTGGGTGTCGTTCATGTTCTTATTGGGTCCATCATCTTGTCTGTGCGTGAGGGAACAGTTGGTAGTTTATTATATTATTGAGAAGGTCCGGCGCAGTTATACTCAGCCAGAATATATCCAGGAAAGTAATAGGCGTCATTTTCGTCCTATTAGGAGCCCTCAGCAGCGCAACCACTGGATTCTGCTGGATATCAACTCATAATTGCATTTATGTGAGTCGGTGACTTATGCCGCTGAACCATGGGTGACGGCTGCGGACCGCCATAACTTATACAGCGTGGTCCACTCTGCACTGTTATGCTGTTATGGGTGTGCACAGGGCAGGGCTGGCCACCACCCGTTTAGCGCTTTCCTGGTTGTGTGGTGGCGGTCTGGCTGAGTATAGCTGCGACGAACCTGTCCGTGATTTGCTCAGAAGACGAAAGTCGTGAATGTCTGTTCATTGCGTTTAGATCTTACGTTGGAGTAGACTACATCCCTCCTTCGCCATAATCAGGTTGCTTAGCATTATCAATACTGGACACCAGTGTACCTGCTACCTGTATTGAGCATGATGGGAAGGAGAGATTTGTCCACGTATAGTCAAAACAATAAGTGCACAAGGCAACTGCCATAGATAGTAGTGACAAGATTAGTTTTGTAAACTGAGCATAATGAAGCAGATGAACACCACGGGAACAGCTGTGATAATCGAAAGGCCATAACGTGCAGAAAGTAGTGTCAAAAAGTGGACTGATTTCAGTGGGTTAAAAACACAGATATTTTAGATCAGGTATAAAGCCAAAGTGGGTACGACACAAGTAACAGCCAAGATGGAGATACAAGTTCAGCAGGATTTGCAGTCGCCGATAAGGTCCACCTCCCAGTGTGTTGGCTAGGAAAACACAAAGATTTTTAGGCCAAACTAGAACAAAAGTGTCGCGAAATTGCATCGTCATGTTTATAGGGAAAAGAAGTAGCGATCAGCTTACGTTGGCGTTGGTCACCAGCATTCAAAGGAGGATATCCACCAGAATGGGGCAAATAACCATGTTGGGTATACTGTACTCCGAAAGGAGCATTTCCGCCATCAAATGTAGGATGTCCGCTCTGATGTGGTAAGGGGGGTGGTTGCATTTTGTTCAGTCCTGATTATGTGCCATAGAAAAAAGCAAGATATTGATAAGAGATGCTAGTGGGGCTGAATTTTAGGTGAATGGAAACAAGACTAAACGATTGGACTGCAACAGAACAATAAATGGTCAATAACGAAAATTTAAACTACATGCAAAAGAGACGCATATTGCAACAGTTCAATATAATAGTGTTATGGAGTAAAAGCAGTAGCTTTACAAGACCCACAGGTTGGCAAATGAAGTACAGATATCGCACTGGTCCGGCGTAAAACGTTCAAGTTTAGGTGAGCCTGAAACGATAGGAGAACCCTGTAACTGCTTCTTCTGCATATTGTTGAACCAGGAACTAATAAGTTGCTCTGAGGTAAAGAAGGACGTAAAAGGAAATATCGGATCCTACACCAGCAATTACTGCTGTGCCAATCACGTATAGTAAACAAGAGATAGGAAGAAAATGGAAGGTAAAGAAGAAGGAAGGTCTTTTGAATGAAGAACAATACCAGAGCGAAGGAAAACAAAGAAAATAAAATGAATTATGAAAGCATTTGAACGCAGTGATCCAGATATGGCACTTCGACGTACTGCTGTGTAGCGTTTATCGTTAGGACAGCAGTCTAATCCCAGTAGACACGAGTGTCCGATAGCCGTCTGATGACCTTCCGACAGGCGATCGATCTGACACCGGACGGGCATAAGTTCGTGCTGGAAATAGGACGGTCAAATCGGCCACTCATCAGACGGCCAGGTTAGAACCTAGCCGAATAGACCTATACTATCTTTGCTTAAGCCCGTTATTACTCCGCTTTCCCTACATTGCCAGCAGCTATTTATCACTCAGGGACGCTGGGAACAAGTTCAAGGTTACTCAATGCGGCCTCAAGTATAAAAACCTCCGCATACTGCTCACCAAGTACACGAGCATTTTTCGAGTCCGCATACGTATGAGTTCCACTGGCCTACATCAAATCTGGAATTACCGAATGCAAAACACAGCACCTCTTAACATAAGCGAAGAACTCCTTCGGATTTTTCGGTCCATCAACCAATCCCTGCTCGTACAACAGCTGAGCTTTCCTCAAGTATTGTCTAGGTCTATTTCTAGCCTCGCTGTACCTACCATGGGTGCTAGTTGATGGAGCTGCATGGTGGGTCCTCCAACACCTAGAACGCTTCTGAAGCAGGTAAGTACCAGTGCTATCTATCCACGGGGGCCGTGCATCCATGTGCACTGAGATCATATCTTCAACCTGTTCAAGCGGACCTCGTACCCAAAAGGCTTCATTCTACGCTGCTTCGCATCAAAAAAGGTTGCTCAACACACCTCGACAAATCTAACAGCTGAAAAGAGAACAACACTTCCTTATATCAACGGCATCTCTGAAATGGCAGCGATGATTTTATTGCTTTTTGGAATCAAAGTTGCACACCAGCCAACGAAAACCATTCGCAGTAAACTCTTCAAGATGAAAGATAAACTTAGCAAAGAAGAAGAAACTGGTGTGATTTATAAGATCTGCTGCCGGAACTGCGGCAAGTAATACGTGGGACAGACTGGGAGAAAGCTTGGCACAAGGCTACACGAACACAGCCTAGCCATACGTCGCCACAGTCAGAACTCCCTGATGTCAGTGCACATAGATGCTGAGAACCATCAATACGACACAGAGCATGCCAGTATCCTAGGAAAGGCTAAAAGCCGACAAGCACATGAGTTCATTGAAGCCTGGCATTCAAAGCAGAACTCGATCAATAAGCACTTGGACATTGAAGTCGCTTACGAGGCACTGCGAACCAGGCCCCTGAAGCCGCACTGATGATGTTGCCTAGTCAGGTAACGAAACGTCTGCACAATAATCACTCAGCTAGGAGAACAGCTCAAAATCCGCAACACTACGTGATATCACTTACGAAATATAACGACATAGCAAATCTAGGTCAAAATTAGATGGTGTTTTGCGTCCGCGAACCTAGATGGCAGGTCTACTAACTGATGCAACGGTACTTGCAGCGTAAGCTCAAGAAGGTCTGCACCGAAATTACCTTCAGCCAAGTTGCAAGAAAGAGTTGTCAAGCAAATTTCCGGTAGATTGAAGCCACCTATTATCAAACACCCGGCTCCGGGTTGGGAGCGAATAAAGTAAATCGCGGCTTTGGACGCACTCCCATGGCTTCTATACAAAATTGCAACTGTAAGTTGAGCCGAGGAAGTTCTAATTACAACCGACAGAGCTTTCACGGGTTTGTCTTCTGACTGAAACATGTAGGTTCGCAAAACGTCAAGTCCACAGCTAAGGTAAAGCGCAACGCCCCCGCCTTGTCGGCCAACGAAGCGATCACATCTAAATGGTGCGTAGCCAGTAGATGTACATCACCCTCCGTGATGTCCTGAGGCAGCCACGTTAAGGTGAATGCGAGTACATCGGGATGAAACCCATCTATATGCAGATCTATCTTGCACATCTTATTCCTTTGGCTGCGCATATTGCTTAGCACTATCTGAAGGTATTGATAATATCTAGCCCTGGGTTGTACGCTACCAGGACTTGCAGCACGGAACTAGTTCTTTTTCTCTACATTTTTATTGAATAGCGTTTTGTTTGTCGCTTTGAGGTCACAACGTGCTTGTCGTGTTGCACCGTTCGAGCATTTCTTTACTGAAATCCTTGTTTGCGAACAGTAATTGAATAACACTGTAAAGAAATTTTGGCTTTGTCGGTTTTACCCATAAAATTGAGATCAGAGTACAGGATTGCACCCCCAGCAGATTCCACGCAATGTTATCAATGAGCGATTAATGCCCGCTTAACGAAAGTTACCGATGTCATACAGAGAAAATCAGCCCTGGATACAACGGAGGCGCTGCCATGTCATGACTGCTCGTATATTCCGACGTTAATTTTAACATGTAACAGGGATTGCATGGATATCTGACGAAAGTGTATGACTAGTCATTTCCGCTAACAGTAAATGACAGCGGTCTGTCTTGCTGGTAGGAGTATGAGCAGTGAGGGTCTATCAACGTAGTTCTGTAGTCTAGTTGTAGGTAGCTCTTCTCGTAGTCTAAGTGGCCGGGGTTCGATTCTTGGTGGGGACGGCGATGGACTAACCGGTATCAGTAGATCGCGTGGTTGTGCGCATGTCGTTGTGGTTACGCCCATTCTCTCATTTCGCAGTTTCAGTGAGCATTATTAGGAACGTAAGCACTTTATGCACTTTTCATGAGGAAGTTGACGGAAATGTACGCACCGGTTGTGTTAACGGGATATGTTGAGGACAAGATCATAGGTACTCTAATGCCATGCGTTGGGGAATAAACAAAGGAGTGTAAAGGAGGAGTGCTGCTGAACCTTTCTCCGACAGTCCGAAACGTTCCGTTAGGACTTATTTCGGAATCTCAGCGGTCTGTCCGCGGAGTTACATGCTGGTAGGGTCGCCAGAAGTTTGGAATTGTAATAACGTGCAATCAATGATGGTGGCAGGGTAGGTAATGTGGCTAGATTATTCCTACAGAGAGCAAAATCTGGGGAAAAGCAGGCGTTCAAAGGAAGAATTGCACAATTTTTCTCGGCGAGCGCCCTCTATATGGAGAGAAAACCCTGCTATATTTGTTTAGTCCTTTAGAGGGGAAGGTTGGTCAAACCGTCGTAAGCCTTGAACGTGCAGGGCAAACACACTGCGGAAATAGGTGCCTCGCTGTCCGAGTTAGAGACGGCTTGCGCGGAAGCAGTATGTACGTTGAAAGGTTTTGTCAGAAGTTGCTTGTCGCTGACCAATACTGGACACGAATCGCAGTGAAAGTTGACGCCTTTAGAGGTAGTGCGCTGAAGACATTGGTAAAGATCATTATCAATGTTACAGAAAACTATATGCATCCATCTGTCGCACAGTGCGCATTGGACGGCCTTTGAACGTGAGGTGAAACTCTCCCCGCAGTCCACGCACTTAGATGTCATAACTACCAAAAGAAAAATTTGACTATAGTCAATGTTCGTCAAAAGTGTCTATTTAAACAATTATCTTCACAAAAATTTTACAAAGATTTTGTGGCAGTACTCTGGTAGAAGAAAAATAGTAAAAACGCGCGCACTTCTTACTCACAGAGGAGCGTGATGTCAGGGTACATCTTGCGACTATTTCAAAAGTTGCGCAACTAGCAAACAGAATTGCAAAGCGTTAGATAATACCATATCTTGTGAACTGTGCATCTTGGAAACCGCACATTAGCGATATCTGCATCCATGTTCTTTTGAACTTAGAATATCAACGAACTTAAATTTTTTTCATTGCAAGCTTTTATAAAAGGTGGTATATGTATAAAGCAGACTAAACGGTAGCTTGCACATGCTAGCCGACCCATTTTCGCCATGAAAAACTACCTATGGCTAGCTTACTCGTTTGTGAAAATGCTGGTTATCTGCTCCCTCCTCTGCGAGTAATATGGCCGGGGCTACATCGCTGTACCAAATCAAATGATCAACAGAATAAGGCCACATTTCGACGCACATTTTTGACCACTAAAACAAGAAATTGTTTTAACGCAAAGCAAAGTATCTGCAGTGCGTAGCATAGAACACTAATATAGTCACAGTGAAACTGTATTTACCGAGGATTCCCCATGTTCGGCTCCATCTTTTTCTTTTTAGCTTGCGTAGTGAATGCTTGGAACCAGTTGCCGGAGCCTATGGTTGATGCTGAGACGGAGGAACGTTTCAAACAATTGTTGGATTCTCACCTGAATGCGATGGGATTCAGCTGTCTCTAAGACAGATACAGTGGTCCACTGAGTAACCTTGGACCGCAATGACCCACGCCATATCCGCAATGATCGGGAAGTGGAGGAGCTGACACAGGATCTTCCTTCTGCTTTTTATCATCCAATGCTACAATTATATCCAGTGACTCCGAACTTTCTTCTGACTACAGGAATTTAGTTTGGTTGCTCCGTCAGTTACGCATAATTTGGTCGTGATGGCTCAATGCGTGATAACTTCATACCGCACCTCACTTACTGTATTGTAGAAGACCGTACAGTCGACCGGTGACTTTGCTGTTATCAGCAAGTTGGGTGGTTTCTTGCCACACCGGGGTATTTTGCTGTATCCTTTTTTTCTTAATTCAGATCAACTTCCCGTTAAAATGCAAGTGAGACAAGAGCAATGGGAGAATTATATAGGTGTTTCATTGTGTGAACGTCGTTCATCCGGGTGGTTTTCAGTCTTTCGATTTGTCTTCTGAGAAAGTAAAATTGGCACGCGCTTCACAAACATTCAATTAATCAACACCCATGTGTC